TGGAGGGCAAGGTGGTGGACAGCATGGTGAACAAGGTGGAGGACAAGGTGGAGGACAAGGTGGAGGACACGGTGGTGGACAACATGGTGAACAAGGTGGGGGGCAAGGTGGTGGACATGATGGTGGACAAGGTGGTAAACAACATGGTGGACAAGGCGGTGGGCATGGTGGTAAACAACACGGTGGACAAGATGGTGGACACTGAGGTGGACATGGTGGAGGACATGGTACGCAAAGATTGTAAGAAATGCAAGGTGGTACAGATGACGTTGGTATACAACAAGGAACGGAGGGTGCGCAACATCTATTTGAAGAGTCACTTGCACACATAGGTGGAGGACATGTCAATTTTTGCGCGTTTGTATTGCAAGACATTTTAGCATCATTGCAAGTTAATCTACAGTATGCAGCTAAAGCAGATTCCCTTGCTTGATCAGCACAGTAAAATTTTTTCAAAGCAACAGTTACGTCTCCTAAATCAGTTAGCTTCAATAATGCACACTGGCCTGGTTGACAAACAGGATACAATTTCGTCATGCATTCTGGTCTACCCATACAGTCCCACATCATGCATCTATCTTGTAAACCATTTCTTTTAATACACTCGCATCTGTATATTATACTTGTTCGAAAATCGAAGCTTTTACAACGTTTGACTGGACTCTGAAATTTAAAACAGAAAATATAGTTTCTTTTAACGGAAGTGTTAAATAGATAAATAGTAACATTAGAAACCTTCCTCTCTTTAACAACTAATTGTTCATTCAACAAGAATATTAAGTAAATAACTGTATTAAGTAAACCGGCCAAACATTAAAATTTGTATCAAAAATTGTTGAGTGACAAAAAGCTATTAAATGACAAAGAGCAAACAGATATTAATAAGTCATTACATTTAATGTCAGAAATCTACCAGGCTATAAAAGAATTTATTAAAATTTTTAAGAGATTAAGGAAATGAATCAGAAATTTGTAAATTAAGTTAGAATAAGTATACTGAAAATTGATTTTAATCAATATTCAGTAAATACGCATTCATATTCATAATGTAAATAATCATATTGTATAGTATTAAAATTGGGAATAATTTCTTTCCATAGTCTTTGTATTTCATGCAATCTTCCTGAGTGTAGAAGCAAATGTTGAAACTATAGACTGAAGCTTGGAGCTTAGAGCTTTGAAGTTACATATACTATATTACTATTAATTAATAAACTAATAAACATTTTTAAGTTATTGTATTACGATTTAAGTAAATTTGTTGTGTATAAATTAAGTTATATATATCTTCTATAGGTAATTTTTATGTTTATAGTAATGTGTGTTGTAATAGTGTAACATATTAATAAAAGAAGTTCTTATAAACTAGGAATCTGATTGATTTCGTTTTCAAGCTATGACTTTGACTATAAATAAGTTTAAAATAACATAATGATATATTGATTATAAAAACTTCATAAAAATGTTTTAATTTTTAAATAGTTAAATTCATAGAAATTCTTTATACACAAAATTTAGTGTAAATGTATTTAGATGCTCTGCGTACTTATAAAAAGAGGTTTAAGATCTATTACAATAAATTTAAACTCACGCAACAAGGTAAATCATTGCAAGGTGAAGCAGGACACATAACAGAAGGTGGACAAAATGGTTCATCCCATTCGCATGGTTTCCTGAAACAAAACATTGTTAAATTGCTTTCTCCTAATCTGATGAAAAAAATATTCTTACTTTCTATCCATAGAGCTAATTAAGCATTTTAGCTGTGCTAGTAATTCTCGTCTTTTATCACAATTTGGATTTTTTCCATCGCACGGCATTTTGAAGAATGAATTGCAATAATCACAAAAATTTAATTTTATTCAATTTTTATAAAAGTCGCAGGGTTTGCATTTTTTTTATATACTCATCCTATTTTTTTAGTGCATAATTTTTACACAATTAATTTATTATTAGAGCATGAACTAAAATGATTGATTCTAAAGAAATGATGACATGGTCTGAATATATGTTTATATATTCATGTATCATGTAAAATATAATAAGTGAATAAGTTATTTTAGATTTCAGTTGTTTGTTATCATTCTCTAAAGAGCTATCAAAATTTAAAGTTTACATACTTCTAATAACATAAAATAAAACATATAAATAAAAAACTGAAATCTAAGAGAAAAAGTTATAATGTCTTGCGGAAGAAGTCCTTTATGCTGTCCCCTAACGCTTTGTTGTTCATCACCTACAACCCCGTGCTGTTTACCATCCGCTCCATCGTGTGTACCTTACTCATGTTGTCCGTCACCTTGCATGGCTTGTCCACCACCCTGTAAAATTACGATATGTACACCACCAGTGCCGTGCGGACCTTGTCCACCGAAATGTGTTCCATATTGTCCACCTGCGTGTACAGCAAGATGCCTAAGCAGAGTTACAACGCGTCCGATTAAATGGACGACATTTTTCTAGGATTCTCTTCATACTAGAATAAATTTATACCGCTTTGTCCGCTCGGCACAAGTTAGAACCAAATTACATATTTGTTTGAATGTAATCATAATTCACTGCTTGTTATTACATTTTTGTTTAAATTTGACATTTAACACATTATAAAATAATTATACTAATGAATATAAATACTAATATTATACTAATGTACGTAATATATGCATTTACAAAATAGATTACTATTTATTATAAAATGATTTCATTACACAGATTCTGCAAGGTCACTATACCTCCTCCACCTGTTCCGCCACCAAAAATTTATATTCCAAAACGACCTTGCTGCAGACCTGGCTGCTTTCATGTTCCAGGACCAAAATGTTGCTTATATTTATATTGGCGTTTACCATGTAAGGCAGACTGTTTTGAAGTGTAAAAGCAAATAAATAACAATTTTAATAGAAATTTACATTATATAATGTTATAAATAATATGAAATGATCTTATCATAATTATGCAAAATACAGTAAAACTCGATATAAACAAAAAATAATCTATAAAATATATAATTTTAATAAATTGTAGTTTGTATGTATAGAAAATTAAATTAACATATATTATAACGTTCTTAAATTAATTATTAATCTTAAAATAACATATATTTCTTCTTTTAAATTACAGTAAATGTACGTATAGATAAAAATTAGAATATTATTAGTCCGGAATAAATTTGAAAGTGTTACTTCCAGTTTTTAATAAAATCCCATTGTCATTTAATTTTGAAACCAACTGAGAAAAATCGTCCACCATAATTTTTCCATCAATTGCAATTTCACGTAATCTTTTTGTAGAATATGTTTTTTTGTTATCAAAAAATGTTTCTTTTCGTAATAATTGTATAAATTCTTTGACCTTTAACAGAAAATAATACATTCATACTCTCATTAATCATTTTCTATCATTACAGATGTGTACAGAATTAGTTACGCTTACTTTTCTGTCAGTTACTTTCTTATTAGTTTGTGACTGCTTACTATTAACAGTATTATTAAATGCATATTGTAAAATTTCTATTACATCTGAAGCATCTGATTCAGTCGCTTGTGTGCGTAACTCCAACTTTGCTCTAGCCTGTACAATATCAATATTAATTTTAATAACATTATGATGCTGATAATATTAATTTTACTTTTTTTTTGAAAATGAAATTCAAATTTAAAATGTATAAAGTTAATTAAAAAGAAACTGAACCTCGGTTAATCTTATCATTGCTTCTAATTGTCTATTATAAACAGACAAACCACTAAATTTATCATTTTTACTGCGAAGTTCTAAATAATAATTTTGTAATATTGCAGCTGCTTCTTTAGTCAACTTTGGCTTGACATACTGTCGTGCATATGAAATGTATTTTCGCAGGACTGATTGTGGAATGGCATTAATGTTTTCAGTTATAGAAGATGTAAGCCTGTCCCTGCAAAATTAATTATAATGCAGAAGCAAATAAACAAATAAGGACTATAAACGATTGTTATTATTCCAATAAAGTTAACATTCTAATTACCTTAATGAAGATATAACTGCATTTGATAAATCTGTGTGTTGAGATGTATTTGTCTGTGTTTTATTAATTGTACTTGAACCGTTATGGATTGACATAACATGTTTACACAATAAATCATCTATATGCTATTACAAATAAAATATATAACGTTATCGTTATTAGTATACTTCTTTCAAGAATATTTATTTATGTAATTGTTGAAATAATTTATTAATAAATATGCACCTTATTTGGCTCATCTAATAATAAAAATACTAAATCAAAACGTGATAAAAGAGGTGGACTCATCTTCAAATTATGCAGTACGTTTTTACTTTTATTAAATCGACCATTAATTGGATTAGCAGCTGCAAGAATTGTAGTCCTTGTTGGAAGAGAACAAATTATTCCTGATTTTGCAACACTTACACATTGTTGTTCCATAGATTCTAATAAAGCCTATGATTAAAGTAAATTTCTTTTTGTAATACAATCTAACGAAAAGTTAACAATTTAATAAACTATACAAATTTAATTTTAGAAACATTACTTGTTTATATTCCAAATTTTATATTAAAATAATAGCTTTACCGCATGTTGTTTAGACATTTTATCAAATTCATCGATACAACAGCAGCCTCTATCTGCCAAAACTAATGCACCTGGCTCTAAAGCAAAATTATTAGTTTTAGTTTCTTTTGTAAGCGTTATTGTCAATCCAGAAGATGTGCTTGAATTTCCACATACGTATACACCTTTAATCATTATTATTGTATGTTTAAAAATTCTTATAAATAGAAAACAATAAAATATTTATCAGATATTACACCTTTTGTAGCAATTCTCGCACATGCTTGTAACATTTGCGATTTTCCAAGACCAGGATCACCAACTACTAATGTATGAATATTATCTCGCAATTCTAAATGTTCTGCATTCCCACCAAATAAGCTTAACATGAGTCCAGCTTTAATCATTTCATGGCCATATATACTTGGGCAAAGTGAATGTACCAGTAATGGAAAAATATTTGGTGTATTATATACTTCCTATTATAGAGTGAATGAAAGATATAAATATTCAGTAATAACAACAGAACTCTTTAAATTATAGTAAAAACTATGTCAATATTTGTATACCTTTATTGCTAAATAATCCTTTATTGACATTTCATTGTCCACAATGTTTTTAGCTTGAAATCTCTGTTTATTATTAATTATGGTGATGGCTTCCATGTACAAAGAAAATAAAATCTTATTACGCGTTTTAGTGTTATTAGTCCCCTAGATATTACATATTATATATAAAACCATTTATAAATGCTCCATATAAATAGTGCAGTTAATGAAAATATTTGAATGCTTACAATTAAAATTAAAAATTATTACAAAAAACGAATTCAGTAAGTAGAGTACTTACAGTGGAAACATAAAGAACCAACATCTGTCTTGCTAAAGATATTAATAGAACAATGATATTGGTGATGAGATTCTTGAAGACCACACTATGTATCAATATAGTTTAAAATAAAGTTTTATGCAAAAATATAGTGATAAAGATAACATTAGAAAAAGAAATAAAGATAAAATAATATTTGTAGATAGACAAACATTCAAAATTTGTTTAAACATATATTCTAGATATGTGTAATTATACATAAAAAAAACAAAATAAAGATATGCTTTAGAAATTTCAATTGTAAATGTTCAAATACTTTTACAACTTTCCAAATGTATAACTTACCTTTATAATTCCTGTTAGAGTAATATCATCTCCAGGCATACAATTATTAACTAAATCATCCATTAATTCAACATCGAGTACTCTAGGCATGCTACCTTTATTATTCTTTTGCATGAAAAAAAAATACCATTAATATTGAAATAAATCTATAAAGTTGAAACAAATTTCAAAAACTTGTAATAAACAGAAATGTTTTACTTATAAAAAATGAACACCTGTTCATCATTCAGAAGTTCTTGTATTTTAATCGTTTGAAAGGAAACACTTTTCACTTGTGCCGAATCTAATACAGGTCTAAATTTAGATATACCACATGTATTACATTTTTTGGGGATTGTATAAATTCCTTGTGGCTGTTTTGTTATTTTTTGTAAATTACATTTACGACAAACAAATACAATCCAATCCGCAAGATGTTTAACACGACCTACTCTTATTACACAACCTCGAACAGATATTAACTTCCCTGTTAGAAAAATGTACGCATTTGTTTAAAGAAATTTTTGACTATTGGAAAAATTGTACACATACCATAAGAATTAGCTTTCAGGTCTTGCAAACATACAAGTTGCTGATAATTTAATATTTTCAATCTAATAGTAGATAATGTACTCAAAATGTTCATAGAAGTTTTCAAATTTTCTTTAGATATTGTACCTACTATTTTCTAAAAGTATTAATTTTTATATTAATTTAACATTTATGTATACTTAAAAATGATCATTAATAACAAAATACCTGATGCATCGCAAGTTTAAAACAGTTTAACGTATGTATTGGGTTCTCATATAAGTTTTTCTGAAAATCTGGCCATTCGTTTAAAAAAATCATGTCACTGTGTATTTCACACATGTCGATCATAAAAACTGTTTCATTTTCTAAAGTTTCTAATGAAAGTAAAGAAGACAAACGATGATGCCTACTTATGAAGCCTTCAATTGCTTGAATTTTTTTAACGGTGTCTGAATTACTTTCATATTCTAAAGAATAAGACAAATTAGTTTCTTTGAAAGTATAGTAATCATTTATACATTTTATGATTAATAACTCTTTATATTAATTGTAATTAAATAATCATTTCTAAATATAAACAATTAGTTTTTAGTATATAAGTTAAATATAAAATGGTATCATTGTACCTTCATCGCAAAAAAATAATTTCCATCCATAATAAGGAATATTGAAATTCACATAAGCGTCATATATATTTAATACATTATTTGACTCTATAGTATTTAAAGATTTTTGTATCTTTTCAGTATTTTGATTGCTTTTCTTATTGTTTTCTGTGGAATATAAGTTTTATATATAAAAATTATACAATAAAATATACAGTAACTTGCTTTGTGATACATTTAGTCATTTTAATCAATAAAAATGAATTTATGTTAAAATACTAGTGTAATTAATTTAGAAAGTTTCTTGTACTGGCATTTAAAGAATAAAGACAAGTAAATTTGTTAATCCACTTAGAATAAAATATCTTACTAGTTGATTTCTTTTTATTTAAATACCACTTTCTTTTATAAAAATCTTCTGGTTTTTTACTGGTCATAATTATAAATATTTATTATCGCAAATAGAATAAATATGATTAGTTCAATATATATGTCTCTAACTTTCATTAAACTTTGATTGACAATTGCTATTAATGCCTATATAATTCAGTTTTGCGAAGTTCACTTAGTAATAATGCATAAAATATGCGACGGCAAATACTCTCAGTATCTTAGCTTAGATTAAAGGTTAGGTAAGGTTAGATTGACTGTAACCATAGCAACAGTTGTATCAATACAAACCAGTAGTTTAAAATAAATTTTAAGGTAAGTGTAAATGTTGCATTCTTTGTTATTAATGTCTACGAAATTTTTCAAGTAAATTTTTTATTGAAGAATATATTTTCTTGTCTTTGTACTTATCTAGCTAATATTATTTTATACATACTTAATAATATTTTTAACTAATATATTTTTCAGCCGAGGTGTAGAAAGAACATGTTATTCATCATTACATTAGAATGAAATATTTTAACAATAAATATGGATAGATATGTAATCGATGAAAAAATTGGTGAAGGAGCACAGGGTATAGTTTTGAAAGCATACGATACGATAGCAGAGAAGAATGTTGCATTGAAAAAGTTACTTTTAAAAAATATTCAAAATGGTATTTCCATATCTATCATGCGCGAGATGAAAATTTTACAACAATTAAAACATCGGAATGTATGTTTATTTTTACTTTTATATTATCATCTAATTTTTTGGTATTTACGAACATAAATTGAGTGCAAGAGAATTACTTAATTGCAGGTTGTAGAATTACTGGATGCGTTTCCTGTTGGATTAGACTTTATAATGGTTTTCGAATATATGCCAATAAGTTTATGGGAAATAATAAAAGACAATGAAACTGTACTAACACCAGTTCAAGTAAAAACATACACAAAGATGATCTTAGAGGGTATTGTATATGTACACGAAAAGAATATAATACATAGGGTATGGATATTTGAATATCTTTATTTAATTTCATATGAAATAAAAATTGTATGCTATTGATACTCACTCACAGAATGTATGAAACTGTGATGTATACACAGTCTAATTTATAGTCTCTGGCTAAATTTGAATAATCATTATTATTATCATGGACTTCAAATATACATTATTACAAGAAAGCTTAATATTAGTGAAATAAATAGAGAAAAGAGAATTAAATTTGCAGAACCATGAAAATACTTTTGTTTTTTAATTTCTTTTATTTTAATTAATTTTTTATTGGTACTTAATTGAAGTACTAGTAGAGAAGATCAAAATCATATAATTTATTATATTCTACTTAGATAATTAATTGTCACTATCTTTTCAATTCTATTTAAAAAAAAAACATTTTCTTTAAGTGTATAAAGCGTTTCTGATAATCAATAATAACATTTTATCTAGGATTTGAAACCTGCTAATTTGCTAATAAGTGAGAAAGGTATTTTGAAGATTGCTGATTTTGGTTTGGGTAGATTAATGTGGAAAGATGCGTCAAAACCATATTCCCATCAAATTGCTACCAGATGGTATAGAGCACCAGAATTATTATATGGAGCTAAATATTATACATCAGCTATCGATATGTGGTCTGTTGGTTGCATTTTTGGTGAACTACTTAACAAATCGCCATTGTTCCCAGTAAGATACAAGATAATATATACCTTTGTTATAAACATTTAAATTGTGTTTAACCATAAGTGATGTATATCTGGAAGTTACTATTTTTACAGGGTGAAACGGACATTGAACAACTAGCAATAGTACTAAAATATTTGGGATCACCTACATCAGAAACATGGCCTGAGTTAAGTACATTACCTGATTATAATAAAATTACATTTCCATACCATGCAGGAGTAACATGGCAAGATATCATTGATGATGCAGAACCTGAAGCAGTTGATCTTATTAGTAAAATTCTTATTTACAACTCATCGAAACGTTTAACAGCAAATGAAGTGAGTAATGCATTAGATATAGTGATTAAAATTAATAAATACTATTAATTAAAAAACTTTCAATTTTAGGCACTACGTCATTTGTATTTTCATATGAAACCTTATACATCATTACAAAATTTAATAAAACCATCCACTAATTATCGTAATCAAATAAAACAGAAAGAAATGAACACAAATATTCAAGTTAGTACGCTTTTTGAAAACATATTAACTATTACTTAATTTATGTACAAAAGTATTTTTACATTTATTAAAAAATAGTTCAACGACTTTTTATTTAGTAATTATTGTTTATTAATAATAACTTCTCTTTCATTCATTTTTATAAAATGCAAGAAATCTTTTGAACACCTCATTATTATAGCCTTCAACGCATGGTATCCCATCTTCATATTGAGCAGTTTCATATAATTTTATTGTTGGCGCTGACCACCAAAAATTTCTAATTCCTTCCGTCCCATCAATGTTTAATGTGTTGAGTTGATATACAGAGAAATGGAAATGTTGTCCATCCGACTGAACACATTGCACAACAACTGGTTCTGGCAATTCTTTTACATTTGCACCAAATTTTTTTCGAGCATAAACTGCTGCTGCGGTAAATGATTCTATCAAGGAACGTGCATAAATTTGAGTTTGTGTGGTTGGTAATTCTGTTAAATTCTTAGTGGTTTCTGGATCATAATTTATGAAGATAGTGTGGACTGAATTCATCAACGCAGAGCTCATATTAATTGCTACAAAACATATGTAATACATGTAACTTTTGAAACTGTATATAAGGTATTATATCAAATACGAACTTACGATATTCATCCTCAATTTTGTAAATATTTGATTTAGTTAAACCAATAGTATGATGTAATGGGTAAATATCAGGTAGATCAAGTCCATTATCTACATTTGCATCTGCTATTGGTGATAAAGGCATCAAAGATGTCATTATTAGATCCATTTTTAAGGAAAACTGTAAAAGATCCGATTCTTTTTCTGTAAATTATAAAGATTCTACTTTTTCTAATACATTATAAAGATATATTATATACACGTTATTTAACATTAGAATCTAAAATATAAATGTTAAGCAAAATTAGCATATTTTCCAGCATGTTAAACTGTAATTTTACAGGAATAATTTCTTTGGATATTTTTGGTCAATATACAATACACTTGATTGAATATGGTTTTCTTTCAATCGTAACATTGAGTAAATAAAAACGCGCCGAATAAAAACATATGACCACAAAATGACTGAATTTTTATTGTAATGTTTTCATTTAAAACAAATATGTATATTTTTGGTTACATTTCTCTAGCATCAAAGGAAACAGGAGTATTTTAGATTTAAATATTAAATCACTTGTATTACCTAAATACTAAATATAATTTTTGGAACATATTTTGTTGTAATAATATACCTATACATGTTGCCAGAACTTCATCGAACACCATTGATCTATTTTGTGCAATTCTTGGATCACATAATGATTCACAAAGAAGTAAAAATTTTCTTGACAAATTATGCCTATAATAAATTCCTGAGTTTAACATGGAGATATACAATAGGTATGATTTCATATTTAGAACTTACATTTTTCTTGTGCTTGTTATACCGTATCGTCTAGGAAATACCCAACTAGGTCTATTAGGGTCTTTCAATTTTGGTAATTTTACTTGTTGGGAATCAAATATACTTGACGTATAAGTAATTCTAAAACAATAAACTAATAGCTTTAAACAAAAATATCATGCAATTTGTTTCAAATCAGTGTTGGAAGAAATGTAATTAAGTTAACAATTCAACATCATTTGTCTCAGGTAACCAAAATGTAAAAATTAGTTTTTTAGAAATTTGACCTTTTAATTGTAATTGATGTATTTAAAAATCTGGACAGCTGCATTTCCAATTGTAAGCGAAGTTAATAGCAAATACATTTTCAATTGATTAATGTTCAACATTGCTTTGAATATAAAGCATTTACCGATATTATTATATACATAAATTATTTAAGCATTAATATACCTTTTTACTAAGTTATCAACATGTTCTGGAATATCAGTAATCAAAGCTTTTACTTTTTCTGGAATTTCATCGTCAACCTTTACTGTTTTTGTCAATAAACATGCTTGCGATTCACCTTCTTGTAAAAGATTAGTATCTTTATATGTTAAACAGATTTCTTTCTTAAAATCAGGGTGTAGTGGTATGGGTGGCAGATCAAATTCGCTATAAATAAAGTCAGATATCAATTTAAAAGTATTATTTTTTACTGAAGCACGTAAAAGTTTGCTGCATTTGTAAAAGTTTTGTTTATATCACTAAAGATAATTTTGTATATTATTATATGTACTTTATGTGTATACTAATACATAATACATAATAGATGCATATTAGAAAGACACTGATATTTTCCATTTTTAAAGAAAAGCAGCCAATAAAGCCTGTTAAACAATATTTATTATATTAAATTAAATATATATAAATATATATGAAATATTTCTGATAAAATAACTACTACTATTAAAAAACTTATTTTGCATATTATACAAAATTTATCGATAGCGTTTCTTTTTTACAAACTAAGGTCCCCTTGAATTTAAAAATTTTACTGTGCATATGGGCATGTTATACATATATATGTATATATTACAAAGTTGATTGCATATATATGTATAAAAATAAATATCACTTAAAATTCAAACTTCAACTTGAAATTCAAATTAGGCCGAATGCACATAGGCGCAACCGATTTTAAATTAGTGTTGCAAACCGTTTGTGCTCTTTGTTTCACCTACTCCAATATCTTTGTTTTTCCTAGATCCACAGTTGCGTGCAACTAGTTTCAGAGTGATTTGAAAGTGATCAGTTGCACCCTTGTGCGATCTCCCTTACCTGCAAGGTTTGGGTGGTTTTACTACTTCCAAAGCATCTTGTACAGAGAAACCCATAGATGCTAAAATTTGTTCTGCTTTTGTCAATTGTACAGGTCTATTTCGCTGTACTTGCCAGATAAATCGTGTCATTCTACCTAAGTTTTGTTTACACAACACTTGTGTGAGCTTCATTATGATTTATCTGAAAAGCAATTTCAATTACACTCATGTTCTTTCTATTGTTGAATACCGCAAATAAGAAAGATAATTGAATTGTATGACTAATAGTGATACTTCGTTAATATTAATGTTAACTTGAGTAATGTCATTACACTTTGAAATAGAAAGTGTACTATTAATTAAATCTTGAAATGTTGTTATTGTTGCTACAGTTCAATATGAAAGAAGAAAATCTGAAATCCCAACTTACGTTGGTAAAACTTTTGGCCAGTATCTCGTCTGGGTACGAGCCCTAAAATGTTAGGTTAGGACTCCGAGTTTTTGTGGTGATAATAAACGATAGTGATCTGATCTAACCTGATCAGCTGTGATCAGTACCGATCAGTACTGGTCACTACCGTTCACTACTGACTGCCACTGCTACTGCTACTTGCTTGTTTGCTACTGACTGCTACTGATATTTCCCATTTGTATCACTTTGTGACTTTGTATACCTATTACAGAGAGCCAAACTCCGAGTTGACTTCAGCAACAGTTGCTGAAAAAGTAGGAAACTCCAGGACAAGGACAGAGAAGACGAAACAACAATTGCAGGAGAGACAAGGACAGGGCGATTAGGCTAGCATGACTTTTTTCCAGGATATTGAAGCAAAGAAGCAATATTTTCTAATAATTCTGGTTTTAATATATTCGTTACACTTTGGCGGGTGCGACTCCAAGGCCTGATTTTGCAATTTCGGCCTTAAAACTTTATAAACAATAAAATAAAGATAGCAAACGTATTTTTATACGCATGTGACATATACAGGGTGTCCCAAAAATGTTGTAACACCTTGAAAGGGGTGGTTCAGGAGGTAATTTGAAGCAACTTTTTTCATAGCAAAAATGTTGTCCGAGATTTCGTTGAGGAGATATTAACGGAAAACACAGACCAATCAGAGCGCGAGTATACTGGTGTACCGCTCGCAGTAGCGTATGAGCGCGGCCGTCTATCGCGTAGCCTCCGCTCAACCGGCATACTCGCGCTCTGATTGGTCGGGGTTTTCGCTTAATAAGGAAAAAGTTGTTTCAAATCACCTCCCGAACAGCCCCTTTCAAGGAGTTACAACATTTTTGGGACACCCTGTATATATCGTAGACTGTGCGCACTAGCGCCGCGAGTTGTAGAAATATTCATGACTTCAAGCTCGGGATTTTGATAACACTTCTACACTACACAGTCGGAACTCCTTATACTGTCTTCATGCCAACTATGCAACTACACTATTACGTGCTATTACGTTGGTATCAGTGGATTTGA